CAAAAAAAGAGAATCTAATGTTATTGTCACCATTAATCAAATACTTTCTCAACATTATGCTCCACTGGAAGTTAGTAGTAGGAAGACTGTTAAAAAAAAGTATAGCTGGGTGCAGCCGTGCATGCCYGTAACCCCAGTGGCTGGGGACTGGGACTGAGGCAGGAGGATCAGGAGTTCAAAGCCAGCCTCAGCAACTTAGTGAGGCCCTAAGCAACTCAGGGAGACCCTGTCTCTAAATCAAATACAAAATAGGGCTGGGGATGTGGCTCAGTTTTCGAGTGCCCTGAGTTCAATCCCTGGAAGCAAAACTGGTACSAAAAAAACCCAAAAAATGTACACTAAGGCCATTTGCCCACATGGCCAGCAAATACGATACCATTTCTCCCCACTCCCATCCTGTGAGTAAACTAGATCAGAGAGGGTGATACCCAAGGTCACAGAGCTCAGCCACCCTCAGTTCCTCTGAGAGACTTCACTCTCCACAGTCTGGTGCTCTATGTTTTCCCTGAAGTCACCTGCTGCTGACTGCTCAGGAAGCCATTCACTGGCCCACTCTGCTCTATCATTTGGGTGTGGCTTTCCCTTTCTGTGGAAATAGATGACTTTACTTCAGGTCCCTTCCTGCTGCTTCRGGGGTATTCAGCCAAGAGGGTCATTTGTGATGCCATCTCTTTCATTTCTATCCCCCAGATTATCTCGGGCTAGTGACTGATGTCGATTATCACTCCTCTGGGGCCCAGTTTTCAAGAAAAATCAGCCAAAGACGACTTCCACTTTAACCCACAAAAACATTCAATTCTGGTAAAGCCCCAGGAGAGGGGAAAAAATGGGTTAAAAACTCTTTGTTAATTCCAAGTAACCACAAATTTCTGCATCTTTGAGAACAAACTTTTGTGAGGGGTCAATTTATTTTCAAAATCCACTTTCCCACCTGGCTTGGTGGTGCACRCCTGTAATTCCAGCAGCTTGGGAGGCTGAGGCAGGAGGATCKYGAGTTCAAAGCCAGCTTCCGCAATTTAGTGAAGCCCTAAGCAACTCAGWGAGACCCTGTCTCTAAATAAAATACAAAACAGGGCTGGGGATGTGGCTCGTGGTTAAGCGCCCCTGGGTTCAATCCCCAGTACCAAAAGAAAAAGAAAAATCTACTTTCTCTTCCTGGACTCTTATTATTCTGTATAGTTCTTTATAGAACCAGACTCMAAACTGATTTTAAAAATATACATAATAAAGAAGCCATGTTAGCACAGTTGAACCAAAGYTGAGAGACCACATTTGGTCAATATTTGTCAAGCATCGACTATGTCAGACCTCTCCTAGGTGCTGAAGGAAAAAAAACATGGAACACCAGTGAAAATCCGGGATGATTCTCATCAAGTCCTCACTGTTAGACAAACATGTCTAAGTGTCAAAGAAAAATCATACATAGAAGAGAAAATCGAGGCAATCCTCTGGACAATTTTTACTACCCTCTCCCCAACCAGTCCCTCCTAAAATCTAGCAAACTCTGATTAATAATTTATTCATTATTTTAAGAATTATGAAATGGGATCATACCACTGAAACAGARTTTAAATCCTCACTATCACTAGGCAGGGATTCTGGTCAAATTACTTCACTTTTTTGGGAYGTCATTATTGTCACCTGTGAAACGAAATTTGACTGACATTGCTTGACTTGTACAGCAGCTGTAAAAACTAAGCAGTGTTTATTAGCACATGGGCTGGTACTCGATAAGGACTCATTACCACTTAGACAAAAGGTTTTGATCTGAATTAGCTCAAGTATCTTCATCATTCCAAACATCTCTTCCTAAGTTTCTCTAAGACTCCAAAGTCCAAGCATGGTAGCACATGCCTGTTATCCCAGTGGCTCGGGAGGCTGAGGCAGGAGGATCTTGAGTTCAAAGCCAGTCTCAGCAACTTAGGGAGGAGCTAAACAACTCAGCAAGACCCTGTCTCTAAATAAAATATAAAAAAGGGCTGGGGATGGGGTTCAGTGGGTGAACCCCATCAGTGGTTCAGCTCATAGATTGATATTTTTCTGTTCCATGCTGAACTCTTAGCAAGTGCTCTGGGGTTCAATCCCTTGCACTAAAACAAAACTCCTTTATAGCAYAGATGCAGAGGTGCAATAATCCACCGATGAAATGAGGAGGTGAAATGCAGAAGTCCAGGGTCTCCATCACCTCGGGTGGTCTCCAGGAGATACTTGATATCTCCTTCCCCTTCAGCTTTTGTGGATAATACTGTGTTGTATCAGAAACAATTTTCCCAAACTGTAGACAAAGTTCATTCATAAAGCAAATTTTTAGAAAAGAAGCACAGGAGATGGTTCACACAGCTACATGTAAAATTTATACCCTCTTGGGTTCTCTTCATCAGGAGTGGTTTGACTTGAAAGAGAGGGAAATCATYTAATGGAAAAATACTGAAAAGTGCTCTATTTCTGAGTAATTTGAGTAAAAGTACTATCATAGTTTTTACTGAAATCAGCTCATAGATTGATTTCTTGATATTTTTCTGTTCCATGCTGAACCCTTAGCAAGTCCCAGGCCCTGAGGAATTTTATCACATAATGAAAGATGACATATCAGAAGTACACTTCCGTAGATTGTTTTAAACAATCAAGACTGCCAATCCTTTAAATCACTTCTACACTGTTGATGGGATTGTCAATTAGTACCACCACTCTGGAAATCAGTATGTCGGTTCCTCAAAAGAGTGGGCATGGAACCACCTTAGGACCAGCTATCACTCCCTGGCATTTATCCTAAGGAATTAAAGCCATCATACTACAGTGACACATGGACACCATGTTTATAACAGCACAATTCACAATAGCCAAACTATGGAATCAGCCTGGGTGTCTGTCCATCAACGGATGAATGGATGAAGAAAATGCGGTATCTATACACAATCGAGTTTATTCAGTCAWAAAGAAAAATGAAGTTGTGTCATTGGCAGGAAAATGAATGGAACTTAAGACCATCATATTAAGCCAAATAAGCCCAACTGAGAAGGTCAAGGGTCATATGTGAAAGCTAGAGAGGAAAAAGGAAAAGAGAGGTGGAGGCAGGGAACTCATGAAAATCAAAGGGAGATCAGTAGAGGAGAGGGACCAGGGGCTAGGAGGTGTGGATGGTTGGGGGAGGGCTGGGGAGAGCCCAATTACATTGTTAAACTGGATGCATTCCTAACAACAAATCTCATCATTATACAACTATAACATACCGATAAGAAATGTGGAAAGAGAAAAAAACGCCATCTTTAAAAATCTCAGATTGTGTGCATGACAGGTACTTTACCAACTTTATGTAGTATATACCCATTATGAAATTCCAGTAATACAGCCACACCGTGGCCACAGTAACGGATTTGAATTAGTAACTTATTTAGGAAATTCCAATTTTGCCAAGTCATTTTCCTCTCTACCTGGACAAATGCACATAGGAATATTTCTAGAATTGTGAGTGCTTCTAGCATATTGCTCTTTGGTGCCAAATCTTTGGTATTTTCAGTCCTGAGTGGTAGACTACCAAACAACAGAGAACCCTGGTTCTAGGACACTTGGGCAAACATATATATATTTATGTTTTAAATATATATTTATKTATCATCTATTTATTTATATCATATCTTTTACTGAAATTGCCATTTCCTTTCTCTTGAAATCAGCACATCCTCTCTCCCTGAGAGCTTTTGAACCACCCAGGATTAAACAGTTCTCTTTCTCTTCTCTTCCCTGCCCCTCCCCCCGCCATTCCCACTCTCTCTGGCTAAGTTCTGACTTTCAAATATGCACCCTCAGTCGCAGGGAGCTGTAGCTGGAAGAGTCTGCTCTGAGCAGCTCCAAGCATCTCTGCCCAAAGCCAACGGAAGTGAATGAGAAATCCCTCTAGCTACTGGTACTTCCCCTAGGGATCCACAACCTCGCACTGCGTCCCTCCTTCTCTCCTCCCCTTTCTAAACCCCGGGGTAGTTAGGGGCGCCAAAGTCCCCGCCCCTTTTCGCTGGCCGGAGCCGTTCCTAACCTTTTTTGGGCTGGGGACCCACAGGAACCTACAGACCCTCTCGGGATAAGGGCAGAAGTTGGGAGAAAGCAGTTTCAAAATGTTGCGAAACTTTCCAGGGACCGCGGGTTGGAAACAGGGCTCGATTTGCAGGAGTGAGAACCCTGTCTTTAAACTCTTGACTTGGGGCAATTAAATCGAGAGAGGAGCTCAGGTGCCAGACCCCGGCGCGAGTGAGCAGGCGTAGGACGCCAAGGCACCCTTCACTGGGTTACTTTCACTTATAAGAAACACCAAAAAAAGAGGATTGGTGGAGAGAGACGGGACAGGAGAGAGAGAGAGAAAGGAAAGGGGGAAAATACGGCAAATAAGGGCGCAGTGGTAAGGGGAGAAAGAGGCCAGCGGTGGGGGCACCGGAGAGAGTCTGAGTCCCAAGAGTCTCTAGGAGGACCCGGAGGTAAAGAGAAGGAAAGAGATCCGAGGGGCGGCGGGGGCGGGGGGGGGGCGGGCTGCGCGTCTGGAAAGGGAGAGAACTTTCTCTGTTCCTGCTCCCCAGGGCAGGGAGTCTCAGAAAACCCATCTCAGGGAGGTGGCGCTGACCGC